CCCCCCCCCCTCACAGGCCGGTTCTCCCTTCCAGACTCCCAAGAATCAGATCAAGCAGAAAAAGATGGTTCCTCCCCCCAAGAAGTTCGAGGAAAGCGAGGAGGAAGAGTCCTCCGAGCTCGAGGAGAGCAGCGGAGAAGAGGTGACCGGGCTGGGGGTGGTGAAGTCAGAAGTATGAAGGGGGCGTAAAAGGGTTGGGGGGCACGCAGAGGATGGGCAGGAACGGACAGTCGGCATCTGCCGGTGTGGGGATGAACAAATTGGCTTTCATCAGAGGAAAGCAGGGGGGGAATAATGGCTAAGTCTGTACTTCCAGCCCTTGGAAGGCCTGTTCTGATCCCAAAGCTGTGCCCAGTGCTGAGGAGCATGTGGGTGATCCATTGCTCCAGCAGAGCATCAGCAATAAGTCCTTTATCACAAGTAATACAAAGGCTAAAACTTTCAGGCTGCTGGAGATCACTGGTCTTGCTTCAGGACCAGGGAATTAGGAGGTGCTTTGATGTTCATAAGCAGCCTGTTAAAAGCAGGAAAAATCAGGTTGTAAACTTCATTAATTCAACAGAATAGAGAGTTGTGGTCATTCAGCAGAAGGTAAGTGTGTCAGAAGGGTCTGCTCGAGGTTGCAGTTGCTAAATATTTGCCTAAAAGTCACACAGTTTAAAGGGCCAGATAAGAATCTTGCACTGATGTGTATTTCAGATGATCCCTCAGAAGAAACAGAAAGTTGCAGTTACCCCAGCCAAGAAGGCAGCTACCCCTGCAAAGAAGGTGGCCACTCCTGCAAAAAAGGCAGTTACCCCTGCCAAGAAGCCTGTGGCTACTCCAGCTAAAAAAGCTGTTGTTCCATCACCTAAAAAGGCTGCTGTGCTCACTAAAGGAGCAAAGAATGGAAAGAATGCCAAGAAGGAAGAAAGTGAGGAGGAAGATGAAGATGATGATGATGAAGATGATGATGATGAGGAGGATGATGATGAAGAGGATGATTCTGGTAAGTTGCTTTTGAAATATGTGTTCATCCTTATAGAAGGTGTTTCAGGCTGGTCCAGTCAAGTCGATGAGTTTGATTATCTTTGGAATTGAAAGTTCAGTGTGGTTTAAGAGTCAGGAGAGGGGGATTCATTCATTAAAAGGTCGTGAGGAAGGAGAGGTGGGGAACCAGCCATGGCTGGAGGAGAACTTGGGACTGTAGCTGCAGTACACACAACACATCAATCATCTTCTAGTTTCCTGATCTTTCTTTCCTGAACTTTGCAAAAATCTTGTGGGAAAAGTACTTGACTAATGAAGTTGAAGGCTGAGTGGTGTGGGTGAACATCTGCTGTGCTGTTGTTGCAGATGAGGAGGATGAACCACCAATGCCTGTGAAGCCTGCAGCCAAAAAGCCTGTGGCTTTACCAGCCAAAAAGCCTGCAGTTGTGGTAGCAAAGCAGGAGTCTGAAGAAGAGGATGATGATGAAGAGGATGATGATGAAGAGGAAGATGATGGTATGTGAGATTTCCTTATGGCTATTAAAGCTTAATTTTCTCTTGGGCTAAAGATACTGGGTTTTAATCCAGTAAAAAATTGAGGGAGAGGCAGCTTTTATAAACACTATAGTTTTATTAGTGTCTTTTTCTAAGGACATGTAAACTTAGATTAATGAAAAACACTGTTTTACTTTTCTTAGTCTCAAAAGAGGCTTAATGTTCAACATGTCTGAAACATTGTGCTCATCTTGTTTCAGAATCTGAAGATGAAGTCATGGACACAACCCCTGTTCAGGTGAAGAAAGCTACTCCAGCAAAGGCTGCCCCAGTGAAAGCCAAGGCAGAATCTGAAGATGAGGAAGATGAAGAGGATGATGAAGATGATGAGGATGAAGATGAGGAGGAGGATGAAGAGGATGCTGAGGAGGAAAGTGAAGATGAAAGTAAGTTTAGATGTTTTTTGAGACCATAACTCTCCAATAACAGAAGATGCCTGAGCAGAACATCTTGCATGGGATTGGTGTCAAGGTTAATGCTTCTCTGTCAACCCAGCGTGGTAAAGTAGTTTTGTACTTTGATTACAGTGCTGCTGTTTATTTTTTTATCACAGAGCCTGTCAAGGAAGCACCTGGAAAGAGGAAGAAAGAAATGACCAATAAAAGTGCACCAGAGGCCAAGAAAAAGAAAACAGAGGGTAGGTGGTTGTGGGGTCATCAAATGCTGCTTGTCTGATGGACTCTTGTTGGACTGTTGGGGAGGCACATAAGGGGCAGGATGCTCAGTGGGATTTTTTTCCAGCACAAATGATGATTATAAGGGACTTAATACTGAAGTATGATGTAACTTTTGAGCTAAAACTGATGTGCTAAAGCTGTCTGGAGTCTGGTTTCCAGTTCTCTTAACAGCCTTTTAAAAACCCCTCTATTATCTTTTCAGTGAAAGGGCCCGTGTCAGCTTTCTCCCTCTTTGTGGGAAATTTAGTCCCCACCAAGGAGTATGAAGAACTGAAGACTGGCATCAGAGAATTCTTTGGGAAGAAGAATATTGAGGTTTTAGATGTCAGAATTGGTTCTTCCAAGTGAGTTCATCAGTAGGATTTTACTGCTTATTTCTTTTAATTGGCAGTACCTTTTCAGAAAGATGTAACTGCTGGTGTGGGTTCCTTTCAGGCTTCTGCATGTTGCTTGCTGGGCACAGCACTGATAAGGTTGTAGTATTTGCTTGGCTTGCTGCTTTTTCATACAGACCTCCCTAAAGGGAGAAGTGCCATCAGTACAGAGCTGGTGTTCTCTGTTGTTTTGGTTCTGGGCCAGTTGGCATTTGTTTTATCAATGCTCTAACTTGACCAGTGGGGACCTCTCTTTCTGGGTTTCTGTTGGTGTTCTCTGCTGCCAGAGCTAGGTCAGGGTAAATACAGAGGTTACTCTTCTTTCAGGAAATTCGGCTACGTAGACTTCTCATCTGGTGAAGACCTGGATAAAGCTCTCCAAATGAATGGGAAGAAGTTAATGGGTTGTGAAATCAAACTGGAAAAGGCAAAGAGCAAAGAAACGATGAAAGAAGATAAGAAAGGTACAGCCCCTAACTCTGAATACCTGTGCACATCACTGAACAGCTGCCATGCCCTTGGAGCAGGGCTGCAGTGTTACTGCGGCATCTGCTCTGCTCTTTGAGGCCACATCGAGCTGTTCTGTGCTCAAATGCTCATAAATGGATGGGCAAGTGTAGACCTAGTGTATCTAGAAACGTGATCCCAATAAACTTCATATTGAGGGGTCTGAGGAGGAAATATGGCTCTTCAGAAAATGTCCTGAAGCTTCAGAACTTGATGCCTTTAAGAGAAACACAGTGACTGCCTAATTACCTGTCACAATGGTTACTTTACAACAGTTAACCAGGTGGCCATTGTACTTCTCTCTTTTCCAACTTCTGAAAATGTGAATGCTTACTGTGGTTTATTTTCTGCTGGATCAGCTCGCTCTGGTTCTCCCTGAACTGGCAGTGTTGCTAAGAAGGGATTTTTGCCTTTGCAGAGAGAGATGCTAGAACCCTGTTTGTGAAGAACCTGCCTTACCGCGTCACTGAGGAGGAGATGAGAGACGTGTTTGAAAACGCAGCAGAAGTGCGGATGGTCATGAACAAGGAGGGCACCAGCAGAGGGTAGGTAGCTGAGAGCACTGCTGGGGCTTTGCTGTTCCTCAGACTCCATCTTCTGATAAGCTTGTGAACTTAAGCTGCCTTAAGGCACCTGCTGCCTTAGGTATACTAAACATAGTAATTTTTGAAGTGTTTTCCTGCCATATCTTTGCCCTCCCCCTTGTTCCTGGAAGAAGGCATTTGCTTATGCTCTTTCCTGTGCTGTAGGATGGCCTATATTGAATTTAAAACAGAAGCTGATGCAAATAAAGCTCTGGAGGAGAAGCAGGGCACAGAAATTAATGGTCGTACCATTATCATTGACTTCACTGGTGAGAAGAGCAATCAAGAACATCAGAAAGGTACTTTTCCAGACTAATAATGTGCATTATAATTATATTTAGGATTTAATTTTACTTGTTTCACAGTTTTTCTAGGGATGATACTTGAAGCACTGCAGGAAAGCCATAAGATGTCAGGGAAGAATCTTTTGCCCAACTCAGACTCTGCATCCCCTACGTGCTTTATGTCTCTGCTGATTGTTTCAGACGGGGGAGGGGGGGGGACACAACTAGTCTAGGTGACCAAAACAGTGTAGCACTTGGCCTCGAGGTGAGGAGGGAGCAACAGCTGCTGACACCCTAGAGAAGGATGTGCCTAGAGGGAGGTAGAGCTCTCCTCCAAACTTAACAGCACTGTCCTTTCTCCATAGGTGGAGAGTCAAAGACCCTAATTGTCAACAACCTTGCATATGCTGCTTCAGAAGAAAGTCTTCAAGAAGTGTTTAAGAAGGCTTCTTCCATCAAGTTGCCACAGAACAACCAGGGCAGGCCTAAAGGGTATGTTGGGCCTTTCTCCTGACTCCTGAGTTGGCTTTGTGAATGACTTGTCCCCACAGATGCCTTGTGCTCCTAGGCTGACTGATAACCTTCCTCTCCAAATAGGTATGCATTTGTAGAATTCCCCACAGCTGAGGATGCCAGAGAGGCATTGAATTCCTATAACAACACAGAGATTGAAGGCAGAACAATCAGGCTGGAATTCAGTTCACCATCATGGCAGAAGGGGACCATGAATGCAAGAGGAGGATTTAATCGTAAGTGTTCCACGTTAGACCATTTGATCTTGAGACAGCTGTGGCAGGAGTGTGCCATTTATGCCAACTCAGGGCTGCTTTAAAAATAAAGAAAATACGCCTGTGGTGTAAAAGACTTGTCTCATGGGTGAGGGTGCTGGATATGATGACTGATTATCTGAAATGCTGATGAAACTGTTGCCGAAGTCCTCTAGATAGTCAAGTGCTGATCCAGCAGTGTCTGTCTGGTTAATATCCCTACTGGTGAGATGCAAGCATCTTACTTAAATTAAAAAAATAGGGGGAAAAAAAAGAAAAAAATGTTTTTACAGTACCAGGCTGGCTGATAGAGATACTTTGACGTCTAAGTGCAGTCCTGAAAAAGTTTTCAAGGGCTTTGTCCCTTAGCCCTGCAGGCTATTCTGGGACCCAGTAGTGCAAGCTGGGTGTGATGTTAAGAAGCTGATGATTACTGTTGAGACATGATCTCTGTATGTATTTTCTTGCCACAGAACAAAGCAAAACATTGTTTGTCAGAGGCCTTTCTGAGGACACCACAGAAGAGACGCTAAGAGAATCATTTGAAGGCTCTATCAGTGCTAGAATAGTCACAGACAGAGACACCGGGTCATCTAAAGGGTATGTTCAACATCATGTGGGATTAGTTCAGTTGCTACAGAGAGCCTCACTTGAACTGTTGTACAGTGTGGGCTGTTCCGAATGTTCTTGCTGGTGCTTGGAACCAGAGAACAAGGTTACAGCTTCGGGTCTGTAGAGGGCACCAGACACTCACTTCTCAATGAGCTCCTCCCTGCCAACAGATCCGTGGCAGCCGATGGATTCGCACGAGAAGAATATTAACTGTTCAGCACTGGCAGACTTGAAGTGGGGCTCCACGGGTTGCCATTAGCCTCTGCTGTTCTACAAGTAACAGGGTCCTGATCCCTCTGAGGCTGGTGTTTCCAGAGGGATTGCTACTGAGGACCTGCAGGCGGTGCTGCAGCTTGTGGAGTCTGACTGTCTGTCTCTTAACCCGTTTCCTAGGTTTGGGTTTGTAGACTTCAGCTCCCCAGAAGATGCCAAAGCAGCTAAAGAAGCCATGGAAGATGGAGAGATAGATGGAAACAAAGTAATCCTGGATTTTGCCAAACCAAAGGGTGAATTTCAACGTGGCGGCGGATTTGGCGGTGGATTTGGAGGCAGAGGTGGTGGCAGAGGCGGAGGCCGGGGAGGAAGAGGTGGATTTGGAGGCAGAGGTGGTGGCAGAGGATTTGGAGGTAAGGAGAGGCCAATGGCTGCTGTTCTTAAGGGGTGTGCTCAAAAACTAACCCAAACCCATTCTTGGGACTAGTGTGGTGGCACCACAGAGATCCTGATGTGAATCAGGCTGGGTTGGGAGGGCAGTGGTATCTGTGCAGGGACACCTATAACTTTGCTTCTTAAACTAATTTCCTTTCTAGGTAGAGGAGGTGGCTTCCGAGGAGGTAGAGGAGGAGGTGGAGATCACAAGCCACAAGGGAAGAAGATAAAGTTTGAATAAACTTCCCTTTTCCTTTCCCTTCTGCTCTCTGAGACTATCTGAAAGGACTCCGGGGGTTTTTATTCTCCTTTTACCTTGGCGGAGCCTTCGGAGGACATTCCAAGATGCAAAGCAGTTCTGTGAGCCACTTGGAAGACACAACTTTCATTTCAAGGAAGAGAGAGCAAGCCATTTTGACTGCTTGCCTATTCAAAGAACTTTTTAAAAAAAAAAAACAACAAAAAAAAAGAGCGATAGATGTGGGAATTTACCCCTTGTCTGTGAGTTGTCTTGAATTTATAATGTTTTACCCATGTACAAATTTTTTTTTTCCCTATAAACTTCCATAGCATTTTTGCTGTAAAAATGCAGAATGTTTTATCATTTGTGCTTCAGCACCCTGTCTTGGACAGATTAAAGGACCTAAACTGGTTCGTGTTACTTCTGTGCCACTAAATGAAGCAGGGCTGTGACAAGTAGTCTGTATTGAGCTGCCTTCTTTCTCTTCAAGGTCAGCTGGTGTCCTGCTTTGCTCTGGCCTGAGGCAGCTCCCAGAAATGTATGTGTCTGTGCTTGGAGGAGGGAATAAGGGAGAGAGATACCATGGCTGAGGTGTTGAGCCCTGTGCCCACAGCCCTGCTTTTTCACTGAAGGTGTATGGAATGTTGCATGCTTGCCCATTGCTTTGGGTTTTTTTTACTTTTTTAATACGTGAGTAAATTGGATCTTGTACCAAGGCCCTGAAGCTCAGTCACTCCTACAGATGTTGCCTCTTGTGCTTCATTCCAATTTGTCTCCTCTTCACTCATCCCTGAGTGTGAAGCAAATATGTGGGGTAAGTAACAGACTTGCTACCTTGACCAAACCCATGTTTTCTGCTGTTCCTCAGGCTCATTGAGGGTTGTCCTGGTTTGAGCCGGGATGAAGGTGCTAGGTTCCCTCAGCAGCAGGGAGCTTTTTCCAGCCAGGCACTTGGCTGGTGTCCTGTAGTGGCAAGGGTTAGGGGACAGCACTGCTCTTGAGTGACTGCTGCACGTGGCTGCAGAAAGCAGGGGGGCTGTTTGGTTTAACAGGGGCAGTATTGGCTGCAGGGCTGTGTAGCTGTCAGCAGAAGCTCTCCCTGGTCACAGGTACCTGCAGGC